ACGTCTTGGGACGTCTTTTGACCATTACGTCAACATCCGCCTTTTTAGGGTACCCTTAAACGTCGGTTACATGACGATCCCGGGCCGTCATACAACTGACGCTTTACCTTTAACTTCAATTAGGTGACGGGGTAGGTTTAGGGGTAGGTTAGGATCCGATAACGTCATCTAACCGACGTTTAAGGGTACCCTAAAAAGATGGATGTTGACGTGTGGTCACAAGACGTCTGTTATATAACGTCTTGGAATGCGCTGTTTGAAAAAACATCTCATAAATCATGTTATGTTGTACAACGTTTTATTGCATTAGAGCATTGCATGTTATATTAGATTAGATTCAACTACAATAATTTATCAATAGCACAGCATTACAGCACTCTTGTCTAATCCGATATGGCCTTTTGCCGACCTGGTCGAGAAAGTTGGTCTGCACTGATACCACATCAGTTGGGTAAGTTGCAAATATACTGGCAGTTTCATTAGGACCAAATACAGTCAGAATTCCACCACTGAACTCCATGATCGCATCTGAAGGAGAGAAGGGGTGAGAAATCTTTATCCTCTCTTTATTAATAACACAAAACTGAAAAATTAGAATGGTGAATTACTGTTAAGATCCAGGGTGTATCTTTAAAGAAATTGTGTCTTTATTTCTCTCTTACTTCTTACCATGGTAGATGAGATAGACAAGTCCAGAGGCCAGGTAAGCCCCCAATATTTGAGCAAGAGTATAGGGTAGCAGCTTTATCCAGGCTAGGTCTCCCAACACACAGAAACTCAGGGACACAGCTGGGTTTAGATGAGCTCCTTCAGAAGGAATAGAGAGAGCGATTTATATTTATTAAAACAGAAGTCAGTTTGTGTTGATCCAAAAAAAAGGTAAGGATTTCCCCTTAACTGCCACAAAACAGCCCAATCTATAACCATTTTACCTGATACCGCCCTGCAGAGGTACATGGCAGACATGACGCCTACAGAGAAGGCCATGTTAACAGACAGAAACTGTCCCCTAGTTTCTCTGCTGGTTTTCACCTGAGCAGCTGCAGCACAACCAAACAGCTGCAGCAGAGAAAAAAAAATTACATATTAATAATTTTACTTGGGTATAAAAACAACTGTCCCCCACCCTCAGTCATAATTATGCTGTTGGTCTGATTGTCGGCATGAGCTTTATTACCTGCTGAACTCCAGCCATAGTTACTGTATATTAATGTAATGTTGTAACATAATTGCTATTGGTACTAACGCTGATAGTACTCTTAACCCTTTGAAGTACGCACCAAGAAAAAAGTGATGGAAATTTTTTTTGTTTGCATGTCTTATCTCGCTAGTAACAACACTCAATGATTTTTTTTCAATACATCCCATAATTATTAAAATATCGGCCTCTTCCAAATGGTTGAGATGTCACTTAATGGTAATAAATGGTACCGAAATTCATACACATACTTTGCCATACTTTTTCATTGCCCATCATATTATGATCAAAACCTTTTCTAATCTTGACAAAACACATTGTCAGAAAGGTCTGAGTCTCAAGGTTCCATATTTTGTAACAGAAGTGATATTTGGACAGAAATGTATTAATTTGTTTCAGCATAATGCGTACAATTAAATTCAATGGAATTTATGTCATTTTTGGCATTATGCCTAAACAAAATCTCATGAGAACTTAATTTTTTTTCCCCCCGATATTTAACTTGGAACACAATTTGATATCAATTTGGAACACAACTTGGTTAGATACATGTCTTTGATTTTATAGGAATTTTATAGGAAAAAATATTTTGTAAAATATATATTTTTATATAAAAGAAAAAAATATTTAGTACAGTATATTTGATTTAATGTAAATTTAAAACTTCCATAACTTTTTTTTATTTTTTTGAAGTGTTTTTACTTCAGCAATAATCTGCAGAGTGTTTTCTTTAAAACAAGACTAAACTTAGGTCTTCATTCCAAAGCATACTTGAATTACAACCAAGTTTTAATAGTGCACCGTTTGGTTGAGCATGTTTTTGAAAAATCATTAAAAATATACTAAAGTTTTTTCATAGCACCAAGTAACATCGTTTTGTGGAGTTACAGTGCAATATGTAAAAAAAATTATGCTTAGCTTGCAAAATTTCACCGAAAACAGTTCACATGGCTTGGGTGATTTATTTGTTTCTGACATCCATGTTAGAAGAAGTGCTGTTGATTGACACTGTGAAATCTAGTGGATTTTTTTTTTTTTTTGGCATAATAGAACTCGACCAGATGATAGAGATCAACCGTTTGGTTGAGAAGTCACTCAAAGGGTTAAAGGTGTAATGTGTAGATTTTAGCGGCATCTAGTGGTTTGGTTGCGAGTTGCACTAAGGGCTCAGTCCACTGCTCACCCCTCCCTTACAAATATATCATCGTCTGAGACAGCAAAGAATAGCCAGAGGAAGACAAGAGTGTCTAACATTGTCACTGTTTCTGTACGACAGTCTATTATAAACCACATCATGGATAGCCATAGTCAGGTCATAGTCAGGTGAGGATCAAGGGTCTTAATTTATAACAAAATAATAGTAATAAGCTGATTGTCTCACGAACATAACCTGCACATTTTCTACCGACATAGCAAACCCATAATACAGCGAAGGAGAAGAACAACATGAAACTATCCAACTACATATTTTTTTTCTAACATAGTAGCAAAAGTTTAGCTGGCTAATGAGCTGTTATGCTGTAGGGCTGTGGCTGAGCTGGTTAAACCGTAAAGCATTGTTTATACTCAACGCGTCTGCATGAGCGCAAAGGTGCGCGTGGCAAAAATTACGTAAATGTAACAGAGCGCGCCTCTGCCTCTTTACACAAGTTAATAAATAATAATGAATAAAAATATTGTTTTTATTTCTCTGAAAACCGTGAACGACGGGTTGGTGACTCCTGAAACGTTACTGTTTTACGGTCAATACTAATAAACGGATTGTCAAAGCCATAACACAGCGAGGGAGAAGAACTAAGTTACATGAAACAATACAACTACATATTTTACACAGCTGACAAGGGAAAAGTCATTACTCATTAAGTTCATTAAGTAAGGTCTTTATACACCACTGAACACATAGCTATGGATCTTATATTGAATTTATGTCAAAAGATCCTCAGAAATATCACACATTGCACCTTTAAATTAACTCTGCACTGGAATATTTTATTATGGACTGCACCTTACTTGAGATTGAAAGTTTCTGCTAACTTGCACACATTGCTAAATAAACACATTCCAGCATATAAGCAAAAGCACATGCTCACAGTCACAGAGCCTTGCATTTGTCCATTTTAAAAATTATGCTTATATTATTGTGTAACGTACAATCATTTTCAACATAAACCCTTCAAAAAAGCACATTTTTTTATTCATGTAAATATAATTTTATGAATTCTTAATTTAACTATTAAATTACATGTTAATATTAACAGAGAATCAAGGAAAATATTGCTAAAAGTATTTTTTTGTAATGTTTGTGGTATTTTCGTAACACTTTGTTAACATTAGTTAAAGCATGCATTATCATTAACTTAGTAATTATCTTTTTTGACAGCATTTATTAGGTTCATGTTATTTTGAACCATATTTACATTTTCTAAATTAACATTAGTTAACATAATGTGCACAAACATGAATTAACAATGAACTATAGTATTTTTTTTATAAATGAACACCTCGACTATTAAATGCTGTAAACGTTATATCTAATCATTTATAATGCATTGACAAATTTGACCATATTACAAAAAAATATATATTTTAATAGTGATAATGAGTTTTAAATTACAAAATTGAAAACATCTTATATTTCATTAATGAAAAACATGTGCTAGCAAACGATATCTATAAATCGATAACTGTGCTCAGTTTGTTTAATAGTGAAAATTATGCAAAAACTTACCAGAAGTACAAAAGTGCCCAAGACCTCTCCCATAACCTGTCGTGCCAGTTCATTTTTCACCTTCATCCTCTTAACTATCTTTTTTACCGGACTCATTTTTAGTATTGGCTTGCAGATTTTGTGCAAAACTTGCTGCTGCCCTGCTGTTCAGAGATCTCTGACCTCAGTCTGTCTATTAGCGCAGCCAACCTTTAAACCCTGTTTTAAATATCCTCGCAGGGTAAAAACATCCCACATCAGGCAGGCAACATCCACATATATTGTAGCTTGACTGATCTAGACCATGACCCCTTAATAAATCATTAATAATCATGCTGGAAAGAAAGATTTGGTGATCTATGACTGAGTTTCTGCTGTAAAACACTTATCAGGCTTTTCTGTGCATCCAGATAAACTAATCATTTTGACATTGGGAGATTAGATGACATTGAAATTGGTTAATTATGCAATTATCTAGCTCAAATGTTGCTAATGTTGTTTCAACCCAGCATTGACTGAAATTATTCAAATTAAATATAGCTGATTGGAAATATTAAGGGTATTCTTAAAGGATGGGATACAAAGTAATAACTTATATTGTTCATGAACGTGTTTTCATAATAATACAATCATAAGTGGATACAATAAGCGCATAAAACAGTTCAACATGGAGATAGAAGTTTTCTACTACCCGCGTTTTCTCCTTACACATAAGTGTGTAATTTACTCAAATGCCTTTCCTTTGATATATTTAAAATGACGTGCAGATTTATAACTTTATTACCTCTGAAGACATGACTGTAACAAAAGATTTGTGCGGCTGATGCTCCTGTGGTTATGAACAGCTCGTGCAAGCGCGTGTGGTCCACACCTCTGGTTGCAGTTTCACTTGTTGCCAGAGGGGGCATAGTTCTGCAAAAACTCAGAAACTTGACCAATGCACCTTTCATATTGGTTGTGAAAGATGCAATTTCTTAATAGATATTCTGTTACACTGTTAAAAAAAAACACTCTCAAAATTAAACAAAAAGAGTAGTACATTAAAATGTTAAGAAAATGCCATCATATCACTTATGAAATAAATGTAGTTGCTGCTTTTGTCTTTAATATTACAAAAGTTTAATTGGGACGGATATGTGCAGTACAGACAACATATACGAATATACATGTAGCATAAAAAACTAAGAAATATATATAATGGCTTTCTGATAAAGACTGATTGTACAAAACAATATCAATAGTTGCATATTGTGAGTGCATAAAATAAGTGATATGTAAAAGAATGACCTCCTGGTCTCCAGTGCTTTTATGCCCTTAATTTTGGCAGTATTAATTAATAATTATCTATATATAAAAAATATATACTTCATAGTATTGCAAAACTAAATATTTGCAAAATATGAATTATGACTGAATTCATGTAAATTGCTTTGAGAAATAAGTTGCAAGAAGGAAAGTAAAAGTCTTCAGTGTGGTTGGTGAGGACGGTGTAGTAAGACCTCTACTGGACCAGAAGGCAGTTTCTTTATGAGGTTCCAAGCCTCAAGCCGCATCATACCCGCCAAACGCTGACCTTGCATCTCCAACAACTCATCCCCAGGAAACACTTCACTGACTGGTCCACCTGCAAACAAGTGATTGACTTAATTGCTTGTTGTTATGAAAGAGCTTGGAATGAACCTCAGCACAAGCTCAAAATTGCCCTTTTGTGCAGAATCGCATGAGGGATGCCAGTAAAGTGTGAGGTAAACAGAAGGTTTGACATTACAGCTTTTTTCTGACATTACAGTGTGTGTGTGTGTGTTGTAAATATAATTCATTCTGAAGTAATATTCTCATCAGTGTTCAGTCAGCTTTTATATAAACTGATAAGCAGATATTTGAAATCTAATACTTGAATTATCTGCAGCATTAAAGGGCACACCAAACCCTATAGGTAACCCTAGGGCTGATCAAATTAAATGATTTACACTGAAAATTACAATTGCATTAAATAATGTTCTGAGATTGTTTTAAATATATAAAATAATAAAGGTTGGACAAGGATACTTTTAAACATAACCCTAAACCGCCAGTAGGTGGCGGCGATCGTCTTAATGAGTGAATCATTGATTCATCGATTAATTCTAACGGTTCGTTCAAACGGCTGAATCATTCAGTAATGTGTATTGCCAGAGCCCGTCTAACGGAGAGCCTTGGCACTTCCTATTAGCCCCGTTGTGTATCATCTTGGTTGCAGTTCCATTAGAATTCCACTGGAGGTGATCGCGGGCTAAATGTGTCTCTTTCACCTGCTTGTCGTTAAATCAACAAAGATTTTATTGTTGATTCCGCAAGTTCAATATAGATTATAGGCCAAAAGTCGAATGAACGAGTACTTATGTCCTTTTGATTTCTTATAGGTTAGGCTGTTGTTGGCCGGAACACGCTTCTGCTATTGTGTGACGTCATCACAGTTTTGAACGGATTTTTAGAACAGATAAGTGAACTTAAAAATGCAATTTTCAGCTGAGTGTATTTTCTTAGCCCTCCCCTTTGAATGCAACTTTAAAATTACTTGACAAAACATTACATCCTGAGAAAAGTGGATTTCAGGGGGTGAAACCCCATTGACTCCCATTCATTCTGCACTCGACCGCGAGCGCCCCCGCATGGACAGAGACGTGTTACTGCAGCCAGTCCAGAAACCGGAAGTAACCAGCCAGTGCCAATTCTCTTCAATTAGACATTCTCTGGTATTGCTGTGAGATGAGCTATAAATCTCCTGATCTTTGTTTGGAACTATTATACATTTGTAATTGACATTCTAATCAGGCTACTTGTCCAGTCTGGAAAGTAAAATTCTCTATTAGGCCTACTTGTCCCATCAAAAAATCCAATTGTCCTCCAATTAACTAGATAGACCATGCATAGACATGCTAGTTAAAATGGTTTTAGTCTTGTATTTTATCTCAAAATGAAGCATGTCATTTTAAAAATGTGGAAATTAGAGGAAAATAAGTTAAAACAGCCTCTTGTTTACATGAGGTAGGACATAACGCTGCTTGGTTTATATTAGTAATGTATATAATTGCTGCCATAACCTCCCATTTCAAATGTTTATGTGCTTTTCTTCTCTTTCTCTTTTGAGTGGTGCAATATCTTTCTTGTAAATATTTTCCATCATTTTAGTATACATCTTTAAATTACATCCAAATTACAGCGAAGTACAGCTGTATGGTGCTCGGCAGTGGTCAAAAATGATTTAAATAGTGAATTTTGAACAACTCTCTTCTTGTAAACCCAGAGATGTGGATTTGGATGAGGATTTTTATGTGGGTGGTGGGAGAAAAACAATAGCATTCTGGATAGGGTTTTTTATGATTGTTTTAAATTGAGAAAAAGTGGTCTTACCACGAAATATTTTTTTTACAGTGAGGGGTTTGTCTCCAGAGCTGGAGCCCACCCCTCCTTCCAGACTAAAGCCAAGATCAGAGCTGGACTTTTCCAGAGTCACACGGACTCTCCTGCCTGTAGGGGGCATACACACACAAAATATGGGATTCCAAGATACTCTTTCTTTTATCACACATTTTTATCTCACCTGTTTAAAAGGTAAGGCAACTTAATCTGTATTATCAAACAACTTATTACAGTACTTTTCCAAAATGATGATTTTACACTCAACCACATACATAGGTATGCAAAATAAAATGCTTTCCTTCAGATCAGCACCTCTTTGCCATCTGTCCATCACCCACCTGTGATTCCTTGTATTTCAGTGGCCTCTCTTCTGCTGTTACCACTCTGAAGAACAACAACTGCCATTCCCTGCCCCCTCGCTTTTCTCAGAGTACGCAGAGCCTCAAAGTGGGCAGAGTTCTGCAGGGCAGTGCCATTGATCGACAACACCCGGGCACCCTCGTAGATAGAGCCTTCATGCGCTGCTACTCCCCCTGGGATTACTCTGTGAACCTAAGAGATGAGATGGGGTGGGGGGGGGGACACACCCCATTCCAATTAAAGTCAAATTGCAATGACCAAAAACTTAAAAACTTGTATAATTGTACAATACAATGAAATTTGGTGTATACTTAAAAGTTACATAAACATTACAATTGGATCCTAAAGACGGACATTTACCAGTTGTTAAACAAAGAGTTGGTATTTTGATAAAATGCAGAGTTGACATTTTTTTAGATGCACAATAGATTAGTAATAAACAGATACTTTTTGTATTTGCTGCTTTTTGTGTGGTCTTTTGTTTGATCATCAGTATTGGTTTCAATTAGTTAAAAATGTTGACATCACAGCATTTGGTGATACTCACTGTGACTGGTTTATTCTGATCCACTCCTCCTGCCAAGGTAAATCCTAAGCCACTCCCCACCTCCTTGTGTAACACAACCACTTGTACGTCTTCATATTTCTGTCATACATCAGAAATACAAGTTGTGATGGAAAAAGGAAATGGTCTCTTTTTTCTAAAGAATTACAATTTACATGTCATGACAGTTTCATTGTCAAATTACAAGCTTTAGGGCAAAGTTAGTGACTTGTTTTACCTGCAGGGTGTCATCTCCCAAGCCCCTGACATCGTCTAGTAAGCGATCCAGTTCATCAGTGCTCAACAGAGTCACAGAAGAGAAGGCTGAGATGTCTGAGCTCAACGACGCAGAGCGTGTGGATGGCAAATCTTCACCATTCTCTGACAAACTGTTTTCTGATGGTTTGTAGTCCACTCCACCAAAATTACATAGGTCCACAAGACTGTAAGAGGTAAATAGAAATAGAATAGGGGTGTGAAGTGGAGTTATAAAACATATTTTAAAGGAAAGGAGGTACAGTACGGCATAAGTTGGCAGGAGCATGAAGAAATGCAAGGTAAAGTGTGGCCATAAACAGGGCAACCTGCTGGTTTGTGCATGTGAAATAAGCCAACACTCCATTTTAGTGTCTTTTTTTTATATATCAATTACCTTAGAGAAAAACTTCTGCGTTCCGATTGGCTTGTGATGGTCACGGATGATTCTCCTGAGTCAGAGTCTTCTTCAGTTTCCTCATCATCATCATCATCATCTTCTTCTTCAGAGCTCCACCTAGCCTTGCTAGTACTCAATATGGTGCAATCCTTCCTTGTTGTTTCATAGTTGTTATTGTTAGAACTGTTGAGTGAGGAATAGATTGTTTGGACAGGAGTAAAGCTTTGAGAAAGATTGGGCAGCGCTTTGGGATGGTTACCATTGACTGTTACAGCTCCAGGGTTAATCTGCTTCTGAATGGTAACTGTGAGAGGTCTATCAGGAGAGTTAGTCTGTGTATTTTCATCATCATCAACTATATTTGTATTAATTGTATGTTGCTTTGATAAACTTTTGACATTCGACTGTTGAGAGATTGATGGGATTCCTGCTTTTTCTTCCATTGTCCCTACGTTTCTGAGCCCCGAGGTTGCAGTGATGGCCGAATCTGGTTCGTCCGACTCCGTGTGTGCTTTATTTACTGTTGTCCATTTATCTTCATCCCTCCTGTTGATAACTTGTTCAGTTTTTGATTCAGTCATTTGTTTGAATGCTGGAGCAAGCTCAACACTCGTTTTGTATGTTTCTTGACGTTCTAATGTTGGTCTTACTTTGACTATGGAATTTGAATGAGGAGTTCTTCTTGTATTTCGACTGCATTCAGTCTCGTCATTGGAATCACTTTTGTTAAATAAATTTGGTCTTAGGATGTCTGTGTTCCGCTCAACCCTTCCAAAATGTAGATTTTTATCCGAATCACTCTTCTTTACAAGAGCCACGGGTTTGGGGTGCTCTTGTACAGATAAGGTCCTCCTGGTAAGAAAAGTCTCCCGTGTGCTTTTGCTTTGTTGAGCCAAAGATTCAAACATGGTGATTGCATTCTTCACTGAATCAAAGGATGGCACATGCAATTTTTCTAGCATGCCTTCTCCTCTCCTTCCTTCAGTTTTATCTGTGAAAACTTCCTCTTTCTCTTCCTTTTTATGAATTTCATTGCATGCTGCACCTTTTGAGGCTAGTGGGTACTTGGGTTGGGTGATACCATCTTGCAAACCATCAAGATACTTGACTTTCCCAATGTCCCGCTTGATTCCTTCAGAAGTGGTTAAATGGTTTGCTGACAACCTACTGGTCCTTTGTAAGGACTGACTACAGTACTTTGAAGACCCTGTTAACAATTTTCTGCGTGTCTCTTCATTGTCTTCAGGTAGAAGTGTTTGGACTTTTTTAACAGAGGACATTTCTGTAATCGATGTAGGCTTTGATGACACCGAAAAACTCAATCCAGAAGAATTGTCCCTTTGGTCATTTTTATTCCCTTTGTAGGTAGAGGGTTCTTGCTTCTGACAAAGGTATGTTTTTGAAAATCCTCTTGGCAATGATCTAGCTTTGTCTACATTGTAAAAAGGTTTCCCCTGTTGACTGTCAGACAAATCTGAAGTTCCAAACACAGAGTCAGTAGTGTATTTTCTGTGACTTGGAGTAGAGTCCACAGCGTCCATAGATTTAGGAAATGATTCATCAGAAGTATCATTGCGTTTTAATCCAATTGAATTTTTTGAGCGTGCATCAGATTTGGCATCTGTCCCAAACAGTTTCTCAATTCTTTCCATTATTGTTTGGTTTCCAGTTACTTCCTCAGAATTGGAAGTTCCTTGCTCTCTGGCCCAGGACCCAATTCTGTTGTCTGTCTGATCAAGATTTGATTCACCTTGTTGCTGTGCCCAGAGACTGCTACTTTCTCCAATACTACCTTGGCTTAGTCTTGGCTTCAATCTGACTGGAAGTGACTGGCCACTGCTTGCCTGTTCCAGAGCTAAATTTACACGGTTCATTCTCGCAGATGTAGATCCAGAGATTGGGTAAATCTTTCTGTCTGTGTTCTGATTCGCTCCATTGTAAGCGTGAATCCTCCGTGAAACACTACTGGGTTGATTATCTTGTGTGTGTGAAGTAATATTGTTGTTTGCCCCTGCTCTCTCAAAACTACTGGATCGTTTTATAAAATTATCAATTTCTCTAGTCCTAGTTATCCCAGTTCTGCTCCCATGGTCTGCTCTACTTGTTTCTCTCCAGTCTAAGCTTTTGCTTTTATTTGACTGGTATCTCCTCAAATTATTTCCTCTGTCACTTGCTGCCTGACTCGCTTCTTCTTGAGTATTTGACTGTTTAGCACTCACATCACACTTCTCAGAATTGATGGAAAGAGCTGAGTCCTTATGTGTGCCATTACCTACATTTATACCTTTCTTTTCGTCATTATTGTCAGTGTGGGTACAACTTGCAGAAGAAGTACAGACTTTGTTGAGGTCCTTACTATCACTTTTCTGACTTGAGTCTTCAACTTTTCCACCCTCAAAGATGTTACTTATCATCCTGAGGTCCTTAGTAGTCGGCTCAGACTTTTGCTGACGTGTTTTAGCAGAGCGGATTGTGAATCTAGCAGCTGCAGAGCCAATAGGATTTACCAATGACTCACTATGATTTTGTGTTTCTGTTCCATTGGATGATTCTGCACCTTCAGTTATGCTGCCAGTTGCGTCTGATTCAGGACATCGATGTACAAAAGTTCCAGTATGCAAACTCATGCTTTTAATTGTCTCTGAATGTCACAAAGTATATTCATTACACTATGAATGGAAGGCTGGTTGCTAACACATTTTCAGCAACTTGATCAAAAAAAATTGTATTCCTTATTTTCTCGGAACGACAGCATTTGTGAAGTAATCAAGAAGGGCTGTATTTTCCTACCATCGTTATAAAAGCTGGAAAAATGTGTTTGTAATCCAGGGTGGCGAAGGAGACCTGCTAAATTTAGCTTCTGACAGATGTTTCACTCTCCCTGGATCCAAAAAGAGCTAGTAATGGGTCTCAGTGCTCTCTGCTCTTTATCTTGTTCTGTCATGTAAAGGCAAAAACCACATGTGAAGATTAGCTTTAAACAAGTTCAGTTTAATAAATGAATTGCACTTCATTAGATTCAAATTCTAAATCATCCAATTTGCTACATTAACTAAAATTCAGGAACTATAAAAGGCTAGAAAGTCTAGATTTTTTTCTGAATGGATCACAACCCTGCATAGTCTGAACACACAACCTGGCCAGGCCATTTAACCACTATAAGATATACCACCTCCCACTCAACAAAGTGTGCATTTTCAAGTCACCCAGGTTCATTCTAGTACCTCACTATTTCAACATACTGAAACTCTGTATTTATTACAATGAGAGTCCATAAATCTCTTCCGGGCAAACAGCATCTATACCCTCATATGTAAACATCTTGAAACTCTGGACAAGCACCTTGCTTGTAATTCTCACTCTGTAAAATCAAACATTTCTAAAAGGTTTGAAAATCAGTAACCAGAGTGTATCTGTGTGCATTTTGTTGTATGTCTACTTTTGCAACATTCTTTATGTTACTTGTCACACTCTTCAACTCTTTTACAAAACCTGATACACAGTCAGATAACAGGTCAAACACACCAGACTACAATCCTGTCTAACACAACATATGTTACACAATTACGGTGCACACATAGTTAAAGCTACATAAATCTTTCTGAATATGCATTACAATGAATGTGTGTGAATAAACAGGGATGTGCAGTATTTCAGACACATGTATTTTTAAATACAAAACACTTAATAAAATACAAATTTAAACTTTAAGTTCAGTATTTTTGTATTTTCAAAATATATAAAATAGTTTTTGCCAGTCAACCTCTTTATTAGGCTGCTGATTTCCTGTATCAACTAGTTCAGGCCCCTAAACCCTAACTTTCATGCTTGTGAGCTGCAATTGTACAAATCACTATTGGGTGAGCAGATTTTTTTTGCATTAATTAAGGAATAAGATAATGTAGGGATGTCATGGTCAATTCCACTTGGTTAAAATGAAACAACATGTCTTCAGTTTACATGAAGGAATAAAAGCACTGACAGAGGTCAAAATAGCATTAGATAGTTTATCGGTTATTGGTTTTATCAACTAGCTGGTCAAATTACTGCTTGCTATATATTGCTATAATATAAAGTGTATCGATTTATATTTTATATGAATCTATTCGCACACTGACAGGCAGTTTTCTGTGTGCAGCTAAACGGTCAAATTAAGAAATATGACATATGACTATTCATGTAAAACAGTCAGTTTATGTCTTGAGTGAAGGTATCAATACTTTGGGTTTGTGTGTTAAAGTGACAGCAGCCTAATAATCCTGTTGCTGTAATTAATCTAACAGCAAAAGACAAAGAACAAATTTACATACAGCTTTTGACAAAATAACTTTTGTAGATTTAATAAGAATCAATATTTAACTCATACACTGAAGACTATGCAGTGTATTATTATTTTACATTTGAATACATTATTCAATTTCTGTATTGCTACTTTAGTTAGACCACACAAAAACTTACCACTCCTTATTTTATTTTTTTATTTTTATTTTATTTTATTTTATAATCTGTATTCATTTGTCTTATTGCTTGTCATTTGTTTCTTTGTTTTAATTACTGACTGTAATTAATAGTTTTTGCAGTGATATTGAGAATAGTGAAATTTTCCTGCTGTTTAAAATGTAAACCTTATTTCCAATTTTGAATCTCAAATTGGTGAACTATGTCAATTAGCCTTGCAGGAACTCTGCACTCTGTTTCTCTTACACACCCACGGCCACGTTCATTCAAAGTAGCATACTGAAATTCATTCAGACACTTCAGTAGGATCTGATAATAGTCACATGCAATCAAACAAATGCTGATATATAAATCAGCATACAAATCAGTTTAAACAAAGTTTACGACTGAATCAACAGGTGAAACTTAAATCAAGGTTTTGTAATGCTCAATTCCAGATTTGTTTGCCCCACCTTAAAGATTGTCTTTGTTATCTTAAACTGAACATATAGGTCAAGAGTGCTGTAGTTATGTTTAAAATAAAAGACATGAACAAAAAGCAAGCAGAGATAGAGCGGGAGGGGGAAGTGTGACGTACACCTTCCAGGAGCGCAAATACAGACCTAATGAAGATAAACCTGAATGGATTGAAAATAAATAAAGGAAACATTGACACAGTAAACATAGGTTGTTGCTCATTTAACCACAAATGGCCATGTACTAGTGCAGTGTTTCAAAGATATAGATGCAAAATAAGGTTACCAGTCCCGTATGAATGCAACATACAGACTTTCACAGGTCAGTGTCATTTTACAGAAACACCTGTTCTCCCATGGCACACGCTTGAACAACAAGCGACATACAATTCATCTGTCACGTAATCTAACCACACATGTTGAGTTTTAGCTCTTCAAACAGAACTTACTAACTTACCTTAGAGGACTTCATGTGTCCCTTAGAAGTTTGAGAGAACAGATCCTCCCCATCTTCCCTTGTGCCTTTAAGCTCTCTCTCACTCCTTGCAGTCTGTCATTTTTTTATGATGCATTTCTACTGTAATAAGAACTTGCCTGACTGGTTTGACATGCTTACCCTTTTCAACCCCCTTTGATTGTTGTGCCTTCCTCTCTCATTTCCCTATACCTCTCACTCCTCCTCCGTCTCTCTCTGTCTGCCTCTCTCTCTCTAACACAGTCTCATCCTAAAAAGTCATATAACTGACGTTTTGGGACGTATTTTGACCATACGTCAATATCCGCCTTTTTAGGGCCCCCTTAAACGTCGGTAGATGGCGATCCCGGGCCGTCATACAACTGACGCTTTACCTTTAACGTCAGTTAGGTGACGGGTTAGGTGACGGGTTAGGTTTAGGTATGGGGTAGAGTTAGGATCCCATAACCTCATCTACCGACGTTTAAGGGGGCCCTAAAAAGGCGAATATTGACGTATGGTCAAAAGACGTCCCAAAACGTCAGTTATATGACGTCTTGGGATGAGACCGGGTTGCTCTCTCTCTCTCTCTTTCTCCTTCCATCTATTTGTATCTCAGTTTCTTTGTCTCTCGTACACATGACATGTACTGTACAAACCTGTCAACATGTACACCCTTCATGTCTAATGAGAACATTCCTGGTTCATGGTTTCTTGGTGACTCAGTGTTAAAGTGCCTGTGACAATCATGGAGTCATTGCATTCTGAACATATCAGGTATTGGATGAATGAAGGACTGACTTGTCGGAAACAGACCAGTGAACTTTAAATTTAAATTTTAGTCTGACTAAGTGTTTTCCTTTAAATGCAAATGCTGAAATTCAACCGAAACCACACCTGTCTGGTTTTTGTGGAGTTGGATTTAACATAATGCGATTGTAGCATAGCCTCGTCCAACATATTTACACATTAATTGGACAACAGTTGACCTTGGTGTTGTGTATTTGCTCCAAAAGGCAAAAGTGATATGCAATGTCATTTAAATAATAAATGATGCATTGTGTCATGCATACGGATTCAGTGAACATAATGATCAGCCCATCACTACAAAACAAAACTATCAGTCCAACACCACAAAACTACACTAATTTCAACACCCAAAATACGAAAACTTAAACGATAGTAAATGGAAAATCAGTTCAATAAACATGTTGCTTTTATATGATCAGGGCTTCACCCCCTCGATAAACTCCCCAATTGTGTTTTAAACCCGGTCTCATCCCAAGACGTCATATAACTGACGTTTTGGGACGTCTTTTGACCATACGTCAATATTCGCCTTTTTAGGGCCCCCTTAAACGTCGGTAGATGAGGTTATGGGATCCTAACTCTACCCCATACCTAAACCTAACCCGTCACCTAACCCGTCACCTAACTGACGTTAAAGGTAAAGCGTCAGTTGTATGACGGCCCGGGATCGCCATCTACCGACGTTTAAGGGGGCCCTAAAAAGGCGGATATTGACGTATGGTCAAAAGACGTCCCAAGACGTCAGTTATATGACTTTTTGGGATGAGACTGTGTTAGTTTTAAATATTCAAACGAGGTTTCTGCATCAAATTTGTCAATAAACCAGCATGATGCATACCCGCATATATCAGTGATCTACCTGCATTGACTGAGCTGGACTATGACATCTCTGTTTTCTCCAGAGCATCCATATAAATGAACTTAATATGTTTTTACCACAGAAATGAATCAACACTGAACTTGACACTAACAAACTGTCGCTATATAAATAAAGGTGACGACTTGACTTAATGTTACAACTTACCAAACACTTTGAAACTTATGGATCTTCAAATAACACGCCTTTCAATCTTGACATTAAGGGTTTCGTTATAAAGCGAATCGAATATATGTTTATCTGAGCAGAATATATGTTTATCTGCTCCATCTTCTATCTACCCTCCATTTTTAATTTAATTTTAATTTCCACTGCATAATTTTACTGGCTCATAGTTCTTTTAGGTAAAAAACAGTATTAAAGGAGTGATCTGTTTGACCGTGGTTGTGGCAAGGAGCAGTTATACTATTTTTATAGATCATTGAAAACTAATAAATCAAGAACTTGAAGCATATGACAGTGAGATGAGAGATTATAAACATTTATAGAGATGGTTGCCATATGTTGGCAAACATTGATGACCTAAAGACTGTCAAGCAGTGTTAAAACAGCAAGGAATGATAACAAAAACAGTCTTATAATTAGGCAAATTTAAAATGTATAAAGAGTATGCAAGATAATGCAAGTTGCAATGCAAATGAAAGTTTTTTTTTCTTTGTATTGACCAATGCTTCAACTGAAACCAGAAGTACCAGCTGCATAATTGACTGCATTTTACCCATAAAATCCCAAGGATATCCTTGCAAACAGCTACTACATGAGCATTTTTTTTAACCTCTAATCCGTCATCAAGAATCATTTACATGAATTATGAAGATACAAGCATCTTTACATGAATTATGAAGATACAAGGGCCACAATATAAAGCAAAATCACACACAACCTTAAAAGATTTAAGGTGCAACACACATTGAAATTGAAATAAATGAAACATTATTCTAACAGTACATTTCGAAAAGGTAACAAAACATTTTGACAATTGATTACCTGACTGTATTTCTGTGGCACACTTCTGTGGGCTGAGTTGCTCAACTTCCTGCAGCTGCAAATGAAGTTTGCAGAAAGAGGAGCTGCTCAGAGGCTGAGAGAGAGAGAGAGACAGAGCGCAGATGGGCGGGAGCTATGTTTTAAATGTTTGAAACTTGACAGACAGATATTTGACATGCTCTAAAACTTGTGAATGAAAAGATACTCAGACAAAATCACTTTTTTATGATGCTGTTTTATGTGTATACATTTTTATATATATATATATATATATATATATATCTAGCATTTGCATGTACATTATCTAAATACAATGTATTGCTTGTTTTTGATTGCATGTATAAATGTGATGTAAATTTGCTTTTAGTAACTAAATTAAAGAAAATATAACTGGTACTATAACTGGTAAACATGAACTTTTAATACAGTATTCAAACATATAATCCAAAGCAATTCAAATAGCACAAATCCTAAGCATTTAAAGTATTTTGTAATTAAATAAAAATAAAAGTACGTGGAGATTTACCTTAACAGCAGTTGTGCATGCAGTCTAACCACTCAACGGTCTGTCTTGCATCACTGAAACAAGCACACTGTTGACAGCAACAGCAGAGGAAGCTGGTTAAATTTGTGGTTTCATTCAGAGACAAAAATGTAACTGCAACTGAATCTTAAGATCAATTTTTGATCGCAAGTCAACGCAAGCAACACACTGACATTACAGATGGGATGGAATGATAAAGCAAACGAAATAAGCCACATTGTTGAGCTGCTTGTGGACACACAGTATAATTAGATGTTTCAACATATTCTGTCGTCTGATGTCCTGTGTAGCCAAAACAGCTTCTTTCTTGTCGAGAAATTGGTCGAAGAATTTAACTTTTTAGCTGCTGAATAGCACTGCATCCTTCCTATATCTAGCAAATGCATTATCTGATATCTGCACTGATTTTAAATCTGACAAATGCAGAATGTGGTTTATTTTTTTAACAGGACAGAGTGAGTCAATTGCCTACCACCCCTTTTTTCATTTTTTTTTAAACGGTCTGTACAATACAGAGATTTTATTCCTTCTTTCTTTTCCAGGGCTTGAGATAAAGTCATGATTGTTGCGATATCTGTTATTACTGGAGAAACAATTTCATCCCTTGTTGTCTTTCATGCATCTGCCACCCACCTTTGTTCCCCACGAAAGAATTGGTGTCATTGTTCAGTGTGTTGATCTGATAAAGGTCAGCTAATTCAGTTGTTCTGGGACTGCTCACTTCATTTTCACAGAAACAAGTCTAAAACTTTGAAAAAACCGTGTGCATAATGTTTGGATGCATTGACAGTACATGTGTGTGCGGCGTGTAAGCTGCTAGAGCTATAATCTCACACGAGGAAAAGCCGTGTGGTTTGGAACGACGACAGACACAGTGGTATTGGTGTAAATTTATACCCTATATGCCACTTCTCTATGAGTAACTCTCTGAAAATAGTAGGATGGAATGTGAAAACCAGTGTAATGTGGTTGAAAGAAGGCGGAGGGAAGCTTTTCTTTTAAAAAATGAACACGTTTATGTGATAAGGAGCACGACTTAATTGCAAGTAGTACATGGAACAATTAACGCAAGGGCATTTTTGTGGACAATTTACACACATATTTGTTTTGCTGACCTGATAGTGACCTGCGGATCGCTGAGGGCATTTTTGAAAAACACTGAACTGATGTTAAGATATCCACTCCAAACCACAAGGTGGCGTCAAAGATGAGAAGCCGGAAGAGTTTTCCCATGCAAAATATGCGACGAAGAGAAAGATCAAGGAGATGTAAACAAAAACTCTCCTAAAAGTGCTGCTGTCAACCTGAAGAATAACGAGCTGAACTTGTACCACTGACTACCAATATCACTCGATTATAGCTTCATTTAATGAGCATTTAATTAAAAACCTAACAATGGCAGAAGGAAACACTCTTTCCGGTGTAAATGTTGTGCTTGTTATGGCCTACGGAAGCCTGGTAAGTACCAAACTGCATAGTAACGTTATTTGTATAATAATAGTTGTATTTTTAAACATGTAAACGGAATATTTAACAACTACAGTAAAGCTGGAGCAATATATATCAGTATTTTCTTCGTACAATATGCATTGACAGCTCAGATGTGTGAATAGTACTTTATAATGGGGATTACAATAGAAATGTCCTTTAAGTTTCTCAAAACTTATTGAGTTGCCCACACATGGCACCTATGGTTTTGGCATCTCATTAAATTTTGAGCCTATATTGCCCGTGTCATATTTGTATTTGAGTGTGTATGTTGATTGAACCCTTATGTAATTCTGCAGGTGTTTGTTCTGCTGTTCATCTTTGTGAAAAGGCAGATTATGCGCTTCGCTATGAAGTCTCGCAGAGGACCGCACGTCCCGTTGGGTCATAACGCACCGAAGGTATCCTGACACCCCCAAAAATCCTTATGTCTCTGACTGTAGATGATATTTGATTTATTGTAGTATCAGCACCTAAATTTTTTTGGCCACTGCTGTAAAACAAAATGCCACCAGCAGGACAATAAATGGTAAAAGTATAGCCTGTTTTACTCAGGGTCCTACACAAGGTTTTATAAATACCGAGGTCCCAAGAGGTAGAACTTCTACTGAACTTTATGAAATAAATGTCTTCATTGTAACGCATCGCTGAACAGAACACATCAGACACACTTATAGCTGAATTCTAATGTTATTCAGCCTGAGGGTAATGATGACTGACAGACTTTAGTATACATGACAAAAGCATAGCATGCCATCTTAGAATTTCCTTTATGTAGTATTTATTGTGTCTGTTTATTGAGTGTTGTTTAGGATATTACAGGTTAGGAATTCCAGTGAGGAAAAAAGTAATGTCTAATCTCAGAACAAACGAAAATCAAACAACAGGAACTATTGTATATAAATGCACCTGAGCACATTTAAAATAAAGGGTTTAGATTCTTGTTATTTTAAAACGCTACTCCACATAGGAAGAACAGAGACATGCCAACTAGTAACTGACCTGATGCAGACATATTTCATTTGTATTGCACTGAAGCAAATTAGCATTTTTTTACAGGACCTAAAAGAAGAGATTGACTCCCGTTTGTCTAAAGTGAATGACATTCGCTATGAGCCACATCTGCTCTCTAAAGATGACGATCGACTGAAGCATCAAGGCCAGAATGGTGAGAGAAGCAAAGAAGCCCCGAGCAGTTCTCTTCATAACACTGCTGCAGATGTGAAAACTTATGCCTGTGTATGTTTTTGCAGGTTGTTATAATTATCTCTTCAGAATGCAAGCGTTAGATGCCATCAGAGACACTGGTAAGACCCTCTTTTGCCTGTGTGCACGTCAAGATCACGGCTTACTGGAAAGATGTTTTAAATGAATTCACATCAATTTCACATGAATAATTACCATGTTCAGTTTAATATTTTTTAGGCATAAAAAAGGCATAATTAATGTGTGGCCATTTTTATTTCATACATTTTATATTCGTGGTAATGTTACTTTTTATTTATATCTGGTAAATAAAATATCTGTTAACAAAAATGTTTTAGTTTTACGTCAGATTTATAATTTATATTACTGCCTTAAATTTTACACACTTTATACTTTATATATTACCACTATAAAGTTTAGGGTCAGTAATTTTTTTTCTTCATATTTTGTAAAGAAATCTTTGTGTTCATCAAGGCTGCATTTATTTGATCAAAACACAGGGAAAACGGTAATATTGAGAAATATCATTGCAATTGAAATTCTGTGTCCTGTGATGGAAAAGCTGCATTTTTTTAGCATCATTCCTTTAGTCTTCAGTGTCGCATGATCCTTCAGAAATCATTTTAATATGCTGATTTGATGCTCAAGAAAGAAACATTTATTAACAATGTTGAAAACAGTTGTGCTGCTCTCTCTCTCTCTCTGATAAGCTTGTGAAATAGAAAACTGAAAGCATACAGGTCTAGTCTTATCTGATCTGGTTCTGTCCCACCGATAGATCTCCCATTTCACGAGTTGTGTCGCAGTGCCAGTGCTCTGACTGGTCGCCGCTACAGGAAATGGCTGCTGGACCTGCGAAACTCTCATTCTCTGTCCAAGTCGAGTCACAGTGCGCTCCTAGATCGCTTAGTGGAGGGCTACGACAGCGCTCGTCACGGGACAGGGGTCAGTCCTGGTGTCATGTGTGTGTTAATTTGTCATTTACAGCAGGGGGTGCTGCAGGACAATATTTAAAAGGCTTGTGTTCTCTTTCCCATAGATTTTTGGCGAGGCAGAGTTTGTGAAGTATAAGGAAGATCTGGCTGAACTGGCTGATGTGTAAGTTATATTGTATCATTTTTGCTGTTCATCGCTCATATATATCACTTTTCTCACTCTATTGTCTTTTTGTTCCCCACAGTGTCAAGACCTACTCCAGCAGCACCAATCTAAACCAGCAGCACCAGTCAGCAGCTAAAGATCTGACCAGCTCTCCCGGACCCTCGTCTGCCTCAACCATTCAGGTCACGTACCTGCCGTCATCCGGACAGCGCAGCAAGAGGCCCAAACACTTCCTGGAGCTCAAAAACTTTAAAGACAACTATAATACTCTAGAGAGCACACTTTAGAGCATGAAACCCTTTTGAGGAACTGTGTAAATTGAACTCAAACTGTGAAGCGGAAGCGTCGCTTACTGGAAAATCCATTTTGTAGAAAAGACCACAGTGGGAGTTGCAGTAAAATGGCCTGAAATCACATTGAGAATGTGAGATTGATTTAAGATATAACAAAATCTGTGGGATAAATGTCATTGTGAATGCTATAAGAGCAATCCAAGAATGTTACATTTCTAATTTTATTGTTGTCCTGCCAGAACTCTTTACTATTTTCTTATGTTAAAAGTCATAGTCACGGTTGACCATTTTCTTTCTTTCTGAGAATAGCCTTTAAATGCGAAGAGGATCAATTTGAAGTTCTTTAGCTGAGATGAAAATATTCTTACATTTGTTTTATAGTAAAACAACCATCATTTGAGGTTTCCAAATAAGATCCTGTGTCAGAGAAGAGATGTCCGGATGTCATTCTCACAGAAACTGGGTGAAAAAAATATTAATTTATGTGCTACTGATCAGAATATTGTCCTTGTCCTTATTTTTTAAGTGCAATTTAAAACAATTTTAGTTCATGTAAATGTGTGTATAAGGAAGAACAAAGTGCTTTGAGTCTTGAAGCGACGTGTTTTTCTGTCATGGTAACGTAGCTTAAAGAGTTATGAGAGGCTGTCTGTGTTGACTTTCACTGTTATAAAGTCTTAATAAGATCTGATATAGTGTCTGCTTTTTCTGTACCTGCACTGCTGTGCCTTTAGGGGTCTTCACTAACAAGACATCACTGGTTACCCTATTAAAAAATATATATAATTAAGCCGAATTTATTTATATGTACTTTATAAATAAATATATTAGTAGCACACTATAAATTGGTATACTTAAAGTCTGTTAAATTTGAACAATTTATTTTGTACTAAATGAATTTTAGTTGTCCAAAAGCAGTGCAGAAGTTCAACTAAAGTTGTATTTAATATAATTTAAATGTGACCCATGAGATAAACACATTTTTTATACATTTTGCGTCGTTACTTTTCATGCAGTTAATATTTTTGAATCTTTTTGAAATAACTTTTTGTGTAATTTGAGTACTGGTTAGGATCATTTAAATAATTTGCTTAATAATTCATAATTTTTGACAGCCCAAAGGACTGCAGTCCACATTCCAAAGTACAACGGCCATTAATGGGAAAAGTGTATTGCAGTCTAGGAAGTTAGTTTCTGAGTTAGGTGCGTGACTGTGAGAACATGTTTGCTTATGTCTTCAGTGTCACATGATCTTTCAGAAATCATTCTAATATGCTATATTATATTCGTGAGACTCACTTATTTGTGAGACTCGCATGTATTTCCATACGAAATAAACACATTGGAGTGTTTGTGACGGTGGTCAGATTCCACGGTACCACTCCATATCATAAAATTTTGATAGGTATGTATTTTATTGTCTTTAAGATGCCATAAAACCAACCCAACCAAACCACATTCCCCTTTTTACATGGAAAAAAAGGCAAGACAACAACATTCATGAAACTAGTTTATTTAAATACAAAACTCAAAATGCCATTAATTCAAGCATAACAAACCACTCGTTTTTTACTACAAAAATATTATTATTATTATTATTACAAAAAATAAAAGATGTTACATGCTTGTCTGAAGCCTTTCTAAGGTATTCACATCAAGGTTAAAGTTCACACAAACAGAAAACATACACAAAACTATCTACAAATGTGCAGGTGGATAAACATGGTAATGGAATGCATATTTGAACACACCCTTGTCCAGAATTAAATTAATGAAGTATAAATAATCCATGTTGTAATATTATTACCTGTTCAAACAAGGTGCTACTTTGAGTTGGGTAGGTGCTCTGGCCAATCACATCAGTTTTCTAACTAGGTGCTATAAAACCAGTTTACTGAATGTTGGAAATAGCTAACCTAGTAACTGCAGCGGTTGGCTCGACTGAATAACAGGGGTCACACTGTGTTCTACTGGCCTGAACTGGCTCAATAGAGGACAAGTGTTACATTCTTTCAATCGTATGAAACACTCACAAGGCACCTTTGTTTTTCATAGAAGGCAAGTCATTGGATTCTCCCTGAAGGCAAGTCATTGGATTCTCCCTGCTGTGTCTCTTTGGTTGATGAAAGCATGTAGATGAAGAATAAATATTTGTTGCCGTTTTTTGTTTCAGCATGTCATGTCAAGCAACTCACTGTCTCCCCTTCAGTTCTTTCAGTTCTCAGTGTTATTCGAGATAAACCTGGAACACCGCTGTTCCCGATCGCTTTCCTTGGTCAATGCCACAGAACGCATTTTCTAGCCTTAAAGGTATAGCGGAGGATCTTTCCGAATTTTAGAGAAGACCCGCCCTCTCCAATTTTTTTTAAAAAAATGCACATGCACAAACACAACACTCTTGCTCCCGAGAGGGAACGCCTATTACGCCTCGCGCAATTATGTTGCAAATTATAAACAAACTCAAAAACATTCATAAAAAAGACAGCATGTCAAATGCCCTTTCGTGTTTTATTTACTTATTATACTGATCGATTGAGAGACCGAGGACTCAAGACATGATATGTACAACCCTGTATCACACTGAGGAAACTATTTTGCAATCGCAATTACGTTAAATGGCAACATATAAGCAGTGCTATGTCTCATTGTCGTAGGTTTTAATACGTTATTTTTACACATAGTTGCATATGTAATGAAATAGCTTGTTGCATTTGTGTAATAATAAACACACAAGGTTTTAGAATATGAACACACAAGGTTTTAGAATATTTCAGCGTAATACCATTTACCATTTGGTCAAAAGGCTTTAGACGAATTGAGATGTTTACCGTGTCTATGCGGTGCATTGTGCCAGGGCTAGCATTGCTAAGTAGCTTGTATTAACTTGTACTAGTGATTTTAAATGGATTTCTCCAAATAGCATGACAAACTTTACCTGTCTAGTAGAATCTTCGCGACTGCGGCGTCAGTGAGAAGCCCAACCTGTGCTTTTAGCGCACCCCAGCGTGTGATATTCACCCCAAATCACTCTGGTCTTGTTTCTATATTCTGCGGCCTTTCTCTTCTTATCATACACTTCGTATAGGCCTACATTTTTTCTCTTTCGACCCTCAGCCATTTTCAAAGGAATGGCTGAAACTGTAACTCCGACATAATACACCTGAAAGTGATTTCACTAGGATGAGCACGTACGACGGCCTTACGTAAACATATCACCAGAATGATTGACACTTAGGTGGACCAATAGTATAGACTACCCTCCCGGAAAAAGAAAATCCTCAGCTATACCTTTAATTTAGATATAAATAGATACAATGAAGATACAAAAATCCTTCATCCTTCTTCACTTCATATTCCTTTGAATAAAATAATAAAATAAAAATGTTTTCCCATCTGTTATCGTCTCTATAATTTGTCTAACTCAGAAAAAGACCCCTTAATTCCACAAGTGTTTAGCCGAGCTAATACCGAGGGAGATTACGAGAGATATAAAGAGAGCTCAACTAGGGTGTTTAGCAACAAAACCAGTCTGACCATTAATATTGGGTGAAAGACATCATCTTCAGAGGGCCAGCCTCAAATAAATACCAAAATATCCCCAGCATCCATCTAGAAGCCCTTCACACTTCTTACAAAAAATGAAAATGAGTTCATCATTTTTGTTTTCGTCACTTGTCTTCATAAAAATGGATATCTTCACTATAACAGTCCCGGTTGTGTCAAACCTACATTGATTATTCTGCAATGTTAGAAGTATACTTGGAGAAAAGGCCTTTAGACATTAAAGCAATGGTGTGTCCTTTGGTGTAGATCTGTGGTCATTTGTGTTGCTAATATCCAGCATTTATACTGGAGGATGGTACGGTTGTCACAGCAGTGCTGTGATGTTGCTGTGGTAACGTTCATGATTTAATTTCAATGACTTTGATGAAGGGCAGACTCTTGTTGGTCTGGGTGGACGGTCTCAGAGGCTTGCTGTGGAGGAGACATAAATTCACTTTGAATGCGTGTGCTTGTATGTCTGTTATCAAGAATATGTGACTATTTGCATAACATAATTTGCGTGTAGCTATCGGGATAATTTGCAAGTCTTACCTGTAGACAATCTGCGCATTGGTGTCTGATGGCAGGTATGAATTTGACCTTTGACTCCCCAGGTAGTAATCCACCTGATCGTGCATTTGTTTGTTCTGCGAGCAAAGCACATTCACAAAGGTCAGACATCAGGAAAGACTCATGAGATCACAGATGAAAGGGTGAATTAACTGATTTCTTTTTGTAATTGTAATAGAAATGCTATTTTATTCATATATTTAAAAAAAAAAAAACTTTTTCAGCAGTAATTCATGAAATTATGATCAGATGATGGAGAGGAGAATTATAACTATGGGTGAAAAAAAAACCAAAGAGATTATTTTTCATAACAAGTTCCGTGTTTTTAAAATATAAACATAACCAGTGTAGTCCAATTCCTGAACAAATGACTCTAAAGAGCTGCTTTTTTTAGTGAATCAAACACACACAGCACAACCAAGAACCAATGAAGCAAACACATGCAGCTTAAATCAGTGTAGTTACTAACTTGTTCATATGACACATTACACATTTTGTCAGTAGTATTTTATGCTTATTTATGCATTTGTGTTCATAGTATTTTATGAAAATATTATAAATATTATAAAATGAAATGTTACCACATTTTTGTTCGTTTAACATTTTTACTTAATATATGCACTTAAATAAGTACGTGTTACAAGAAAACATTATTACAGTGTTTAATTTGATGTGTTCTTTGTGAAATTGAAAATTGTTGCAAATTGTTGTCAAAGCCAATTAAAGGATTGGACTCTGTGAAAAGTCACAAAAAGTCATTGTAAAAACACCGTTTGAAAGAATTGTTTCAATGTATTTATTATTGTTAAAATAAAAAATACTACAATAAAAAACTATGGAACAATTAAAGGGATAGTTCACCCAAAAATTATGTCGTCACTTATTCACGTTGTTCCAGACTTGTGTGACTTTCTTTCTTCTGTTTAACACAAGAGAATATATTTTGAAGAATGTAATCAAACAGTTGATAGTGGCCATTGACTTCCATAGTAGGAAAAAAAAATGCGATGGAAGTCAATGGCCACTGTCAATTGGCTGGTTACCAACATTTTTTAAAATATCTTCTGTCATGTTCAACAGAATAAAACAACTCATTCAGCTGTGGAACAACATAAGGGTGAGTAAAAGATGACAACATTTGACATTTTTGGGTGAACTCTCACTTCAAGGAACCAGAAACAGTCATAGGAATTGGAACCAGAACCAAAATCATTTGAAATTGTGACTTCCACCTGGATGTGGGTTTATATCCTGTAAACTGACCTCTGCCTCCAGCATGGCCACCTTCTCCTCCAGCTCTCTGATCACTCTGTCTCTCTCTTGAATCACCATGCGTGAGTTCTGAAGCTAAACGGCACAACGATGGAAAGCTGGCGTTAGAAAGTGAACCTATGTTTGTATGGGAGTGTGTGTGTGTGCGCAGTGCACAAGTACCTGTTCAATCATTTGCCGTAGTTTTCTCTGTTGACTCTTGAGCATGTCATCCAAGTGATGAATCTTCTCTTTCAAAATCGCATTTTCCTTTTCCAGCTCTTCTAACCTGTTACACGATAAGGCAACTGTTCAGAGCAACGCCCAATTGATGTTATGTGACAGAATCAGTACGATATGTCATGACCCTCACCTCTCCCTCCCTGCATGGCCCTCCTCCCTCAGTTCGTGCAGCTGCAGGACTTCGGCTTCTTTGGTCATGAGTTGGTCTCTGAGGGAGGAGCTCTCCTGCTCCATGCCACCCATGAGACGTTGAAGGTCTTCGATCTGCAGATCCTGCTGCTCCTTGCTTTGCTGAATCTTCTTTAGATACTCACTCTGCTCAGATAACTGCCTCTTATACTGACGAGCCTCTGCCTACAAGAACACGAACAAAGACAAAAAAAAGAGTTGAATCACAAAGCAAAAGTATCACAGAGTTTTCTGAAATACTCAATTCTGATTTGTTAATCATAGAATTCTGTGGAGAAATACTGTTTTGTACAATGAGCCCTAAACTGTATATTTAATCGTTGGCTCTGACAATCTCGTACTTCATACGGGCAGTCTTCAATAAAACAGCGTGTAAACAATTTGTCACCTGATATTACATTTACCTCAGAAAGGTTATCCAATGTCCATAAGTCATAGCTAACTCAAGAGAATAAAATATCACTCAAATTGCAAAGGTATTATTATATATATACTGATAAAAACGACCCATAATGATGAAAAAGGAAAATTCCCATTCCCAGCCAATTCAGGATGATGCTTTGTGTCAGGATCCTGATCACTCTAATAGGGTATATTTTGCAAAAATAAATGGCTGACTGTACATTATTTTTTTTTACATGTATTTAATTTGGCAGATGATTCCTTATCAAAACAAACACATTTGTTCAACAGAGTTAGTATCAGGAAGTTGAAAATGTTTAAAAGTTTCAATCTGTTTAAATTTGACATGAGCAAAATTGCTTAACACTGAAATCCTTAAGATGCAAGCAGTAGCCGATTACGAAACAGCACGTCGTCATGAAAGAATGTCCGATCTCACCACTGTTCTTTCCCAACCTGGATCTGATCCAGTTGACCAGAGGGAATGTCTGGCACAGTATTACTACAACTGAAGTCTCACCTTCTCTGAGGACAGTCTAACAAAAGGTCCTTTGAATGCTAATAATATATGGGATCATTGTATGCTACGAAAAAAACAAATGCTAAAAAGTGGAAGTACTAACCAGCAGTTGTTCTCTTTCCTCCTGGTGTTTTTTCTCAGAGTCTTGGAGTTGAGCATACAGACGCTTACTGGCCTCCCTCATCTTCTCTTTTTCCTGCTCATCCACACTATCCTGGAGAGACAGAATAACAGAACATAGCAAATGTTAATGAAAACAATCTGGAATTTGTTAAGTGACAGTCAAGTGTGTTTGAATGTGTGTACATCCACTTCTGTTACATGTGTTTTGAATTAGTTACGCAACATAGCGGTTTAAGCAATAAAAAATAGTAGCAAACGGTGTCTTAATAATAAACTAAATAACACAGTCATACAAAAAATATTTCCATTGAAACACGCCCACATCTCTCCCAGCTGTTATTTATAGAAATGCTTGAGTGTGACAGGACAATGTAAGTTCGAGAGAAAGAGGGAGGGATCTTCTCTGTACGTGCGTCAACAGGGTGTGTGTTCTCAGAGTAAAACACTGACGTATGCTGTCATAGCTCAGCTTTTCCACCCATATTCCTGCTCTGACAACCCAGACACACACATCCCACTGGGAGGCTAATCCGCACTATTCATTCCTAAAAAGAATCTGCTGCCGCCACATTTAGTTTCATCAAGCAACAAAAGACAAGAATGTGAAGAATGTGAGAAACGTTAAAACCCGTTGAACAAATACCAGCAATTAGGGAGAACCAAAGATAATTAATACAAGGTGGCTTAACATGTTTCCCAAGCTGTGCGTTTTTGTGTGGTTTCCTTGGTGAGTAATTCTACACTAGTTCCTGGATAACACAAACACTAACGGGTGTTTACCGCTACAGTTTTGTTGATGTGCTTTTTAGTAACAGACTGTGGAGATTTGTTAATGAAGGTGTGAATAAGCAATTACCTAAATGAAAAAAAAAAACTATTATCACCCAAAGGATACAGATTTTACTCACAGCACATTACATAACATGGCTGCTCTGAAGCATGCTGGTCATTACAAAAAGACAAAGCTTATTTACAGTACATCTAAGGTGGTTCATAAATCATGTTTTGTTAATGTCAGTAGGTTTATAAGAGGGTTAGGTTTGGGTTTAGGGGAATAAACAAATAAGGGATGCACAGATAACATTATAGCGATATTGATAACCTGAACATTATTGTCATGTTAAGTCTGATAACCAATAAAAGGCATATGTTAAAATTTGATTCTATTTTGTCTAAATGAATTAAAAATAAAACACTAAAAGCTAAAATCGAGTGAATTTAGGCATCACAATATAACAATGTTCTGTATGAAAAATGCATATTCAATTAGATATTTGCTGAAGATTGCTTTAGTGTTTTTATGATTGAATAGAAATAGTGGAAATAAGCATGTACAATTAAATATATAATCTCAACGTTATAACCTGTGTGTGTGTGTGTGTGTGTGTGTGTGCTCAAAGCAACAGGGCACATAAAACTCTCACCTGTCTCTCTAAGCCGTTCTGTGTAAGTACTGAATAAGTGCCATTAACTTTTCTGGGAGCAGTACTAGATAACACCAGCTGAGGGTGAGAAAATGAGAGTTAGTTAACATTTTATTGTTAATCTAGCTTTGAAGAATGTGTATATCTTCAGATTGATGTGATTTCTTGTCTCACCTTGTGTTCTGTTCTGTGACTTTTAGCTGCCATCTGCTCTCTGAGGTTCTTTAGACAATATCTCACCTGCAAACAGTACAACAATGTTAAAACACATGTTCTCAAAACAGCCAAACATAGAAAAGTGGGAAATGACACTGAAGATTTTTGCTCTGACCTCCTGTATTTGTGAAACTTCCTCTGAGAGCATCTTTAGACTCTGTTGGTGTCTGACTTGTGCTTCTTTGCGGTCTTCAAGGTATACCTGACAAGTAAACTCAAAGATTTTAGAAAAACATAAGCACATAAGAATTGACATCACTGATTTCACCAAGTGCCTGAATTAAATTTACAAATTCACTACAAATTCAATTATAGTTTTACTTTACATAACAGGTCAAAATTTCAAATGATCCATAATTAAAATTTAAAGACACACCCACCTTTATGACCTCACCCTGGTCCTCAGACGGCTTGATAAGATCAGTCTTCAGTGGCTGCCTCTCATAGGTTGGTTGTACCAAGGCAAACGCTCTGCCAATTGGCTGTATTGACACGAAAAATACATATTAAATGCCAATAGTATAGGCATAGCATGTCTATTAACTGCTCTTTTATGTCTTATGACACTAAATAGAACATCTTAGAAGTGTCTAGAATTTACATAGTCATTCAGTTAAATCCTGTCTAACTTTTTCAGAATCAAAGCTTTACATTTCTATGTCTTCGCAGAAAACAAGGGCCCCTTTCTAAATGCGAAGTATAAATAACTCTGATGCACAAAGTGTATCAGGAAACCCCTTAAGAGGGATGTGGGAAAAGGAACATGGAAAGTTGCGCAATTTCTGGAATCTGAAACAATGAGCCTCTGGTCCTACAAGAACGTCCCCTGGAACAAAGCCACATGTTCCTTATGTTTATAGGGCTTTGTCAGATAGACAGAGAAAGAGAAACAGAGACCAATGAGAATGTGCGTGTGTGGGGGGAGGGATACAGGGTTGGGGGCGTGTAATTCCACTGAAGTTAATCGGAACGGAATCGGAGTCCACAGAATCACTATCACAGCATAACCAGAAATAATCAGGCCAAAAACAACAGTAGAAATAATTAAGCATAAACATTTAATACACAACTAGAAAACATAAAAACAATTGTATCTGGTGTGATCTAAATCTAAATTTACATAAATATGTATAAACATAAGCATACATATTGGACAGCAAATTAAGTCAGGCTAATAGGCTCAACCCTTCATTTATAATAACGCTTTTAACAATATAGATTGTTATAGATACAGTGATAAGAAAATTAAAGTAACAGAGATTGTTTTGTCTTTACAGTAGCTCTAGAATAATGTTATTGTCCAGCTACAACATTTCAGTTTTAGATGGACTAATACTAATGTAATACTAGCTACCGTGCTGGTATTATAGTGGAACATTCTGGTATAACTTCAGCTAAAGCATATATATCAGAGATTCAATAGAGAAATGCAAAAAAACTTCCCAGAATCAGAGTTCTGAGTTCACTCAGTCAAATATATTTTTTAAATCTTACGTAAATGTTAAAATAAAAAAAATAATTTGAATTTGACATCTGCAAATGTCACTACCAGATCATCTACCGCACGTGAAACAGAAAGAAAGAGAAAGAGACATTTACCTTCTCCGTGGTGGGCTGCTGCTGCTGGTGGTGGTTCTGCTCGTGGAGAGTCAGTCTGAGCCTTCTGTGCCCGTTCTGAATAATGACATGAAGAGAAGCACAAATGTGAGTGAGGGATGCAACAAAGAGACCGTTATAGAGAGCGAAAGGGTGGGAGTTGGATGAGGGGAACATGTGGGGTGGAGAAACTGAGTAATTCCCTCAGAGAGAGAGAAAGACTGACTGGAGGCCAATGGCCCATTAAAGTTTGGCATGAAGGTCTGCAGTTACTCAATGTGAAAGAAAAAAAGCGAAAGCGAAAGGCATTTACAGTCCAGTCTCTATAGGATATCTAAAATCTGATTCGATTCGTTCCCCAGCTTCTGGAAAATTCTTGAGCCTTGCAGGCTTTGCCAAAATTTTGTATTTGAATGTAAATTTAAATCGTCACAAAAATGGAGGCGGGAATGCCACAAATCTAAACGGAACAATGCACTCCAGCACAGAACGGAATATCACCATGACGACCCAGATACCCATCAACAACATAAACTATGTGTGTTAGGAAGGAAGAGGCAAAGCAGAGACTATAAAGCTTGGGCAATAACACAAACAGATCAGAGGAAGCGTCTTGTACACAACATACAGTAACATTCACTTAACCTTATAAAGAGATATTGAAGGTTTGCCTGTTATAATAACTGTATATGGTAGTCAGGAACATAATCTGATCAAATATATAAAACAATGACGAGTGGAAAAATTAAACCAACCACAGAAGGATGGATAAATGTGTGTGTCCATGCATGAATCCAGAAGAGTCTGCTGACTCTAAAAGTAGTGTGAGTGAGTCATGGTGGGACTAGATGTCCTGAAAGAGAGTGTATGGCAGACATATTTATCAAATATGTGTGAAACAGGCCTGAACTGACCATGAAATTGTGAAATTGTCCATGGTCATTAGTGGGGTGAAGATCAAGTGGCTAAGAAGTCAGTGATGAAGGAGGACACCACACATTCACATAAGACACATTTCAGTCACACTCTATTAGATTAGATGTGATTCATGTAATTAGGGCAGTTGTTATTTAAGTCATTTAGAAGGCAATAGAATGGTTGAGTGTAAATGACAAGAAATATGAAAATAGGAGGAGACATGAGAGAATGTTGTATAATAGGAGATGACCGTTACAGTGCAATCGACATCCTGCAATGAGTTCACTGTAATAGTACAAATGTACAAGGATGATACAGTGACATGCAATAATGTGACGATATAAGATACAAAGTAGAGCCAGACCGATATATCGGCTGGCCGATATTAGGCATTTTCCAAAATATCGGTATCGGCAGTTATAATGGCTGATAAATGAATATTTCAAAAATAAAAATAAAAACGGACGAAACACTTTTCAATCATCTCTCCTTGGCCTGCTATTTTGAAAATGTATGTTTTACAATTTGCAGTATGACGTTATCTATTGCTAAATTATGGCTCATAATAGACTAAGCTAGCTAATACTACTATCATCAGTGGAAGACCGCTAACGTTAACATTAATGAGCTTGGAAACCACAATTAACTTTTTCTGCCTAAATAAAGTAATGATTACTATATTTGTAACAAGCATATCTCTAGTTACCATCCCTGCATTGTAAAATGTAAGTTAGACTTGTGAGGAGTGAACATTTAGACATAGAGAAAAAGTATCAAACGTATCTTGTGCATAAAAGTTAGCTTTTCTTTTACATGTGTGTGAAATCCAATGACGCCAAGTGTGTGTTGCAGACTGTCGTTCTGTAATGGATTTAGATTAGAATCGCTAAATAGTAGGTTTTAGAAGGCAGGCAGCAACTGATGATTGAAAATGGTTTGATGTAGCTTGATGGAAAGTATTTAAAAAGTGCAGGTAAAGGGATAAGCAAGCTGACATTATAAGGTATAGCTTATAAGGCAATGTAGGGACTAATTATTATTTTATTTATCAGAACTTAAATATATTTTGATGTTCCTCTTTTCTGTTGTGACAATAAAAAAACAAGTTTCTTTTTAAAATGCTTTATTAATTTAGTTAAAACTCATAAATAACTACAAATAACTATGTTAGGGAAATCTGTTAATGTTTTGTTGCGCGTTTCTGAAAAAAATAAATATATATATATATATATATATATTGGTCGATATATCGGAATATCAGATTTTAAAACCCAAAAATATTTGTATCGGTCAGTATCGGCCTTCAAAATCCTTTATCGGTCGGGCTCTAACACAAAGTGCATTATAAATGAGAAAATTCATTTTTTACTTTGATAAGGAACTGACTCAAGCTGATACAGCTCCATATATCCAAGTTATTTTACTTCCAAATCAGTGTCTGACACTAAGGAAGAGGCTACAACTTTTTCAAACTAATTTTTATCAAACACTAAATTGACTCTCAACATGTGGTCTATTTTATGGCAACCCTAAAATAATATGTATACTGTATGTGTGTGTGTGTGTGACTTTATAACTTTGGAGGTCTGTACACATATACAGTGTATATATATACACTGTAGCTATACGTGTACAACAGACCTCCAAAGTTCAGCTGTTACACAATACTATATGTACTGTTACTGTATGTATCCTATGGAGACCGTATGTTTCACATGTTTATCACAGTATGTCACAGAGTCAGACAACAAACTAACAATAGCATGATACTATGCAGTTCAACAAACCACACCAACACACCCAGCAGTTGAAATTTTGGTCGATTACAAAGGACCTTATAGTCAAAAGCATTCCATGTAAGCTGGAATTTACACACTGTTGTATTACATGTCATCAAGAGCGATTTCAGAATTAGTCTAGTGATGCAAGTTTGTGAAGGCAAGAAGTTAAAAAAAAAAAAAAAAAAAAAAAAAAAGATCTATTATTACTGTAATGCTTACTAAATCACAGACAAAACACAGCCACATCTCGACCCACCTGGCCAAAACAACACATTTATCATAATCCCATAAACAAAACAAAACAATAATTACACTACCAGGATGACGGAAGGCAACCGAACAGTCAATATCATCAAAACAGTGAGACAAAACCTTTTTAGGACTGCAACATACTCATAATAATGAATTATGCATTAATATATTTACCAGAGGTAGGCTAGTAATCGCAGGAACGTCCCGCAACTGTGTGCGAATTGGGTGTTTCCATAGAAGGCAAAGCAGCATTTAGAGTCGAGCCAGCCAAGTTCAACACCACACCTCAACCCAAGAAAGCAACAAAGACACTCAACACACACACCTGCAAGATGACACGCAACCAGCACACAATATTATCACGCCTGTAATGGGAGAGGATTAAAACAAATCTATGCGTAAAGGAGTTTGAGATGATTCTGCTCGAGGCAGGCTTTTGACTACAACATACTAGCACCACATACAAAAACTCGGCTATACCACAATATAGCTCATTTAAATGGACACAAATACACACACAAAGCCTCTCTGGCTGAGCAAACACTGTCACACAGGAATGATCATTATTCAGAGATTATATAACAGCTCTGCGAGATTTGCATGTTTGTGCATCAAGGAAATTGAGAAAAACAGAGAAGTGGCGGCACCCAGGTATTTGGAAAGCAAACAGACCATTAATAACAGATGGAGAGAGAGTGCAGAGGTGTTTGTTCTCTGAAAATCAAACCGGGTCAGAGTGAAACCTGAACACAGGTGTGAGGTACAAAGGGGAGAGAGACACAGGACACAGAGGAAGGGATGGGTGATGAATTGTTTGAGAGCCATGAGTGGAATGTGTCATTGGATACAGGCCTTTGGACCCCTCAATGAGACAGACAAAAGACTTGGCTAATCACACAAGCGTTTATCCTCGGTAAGATGTAGCCTAAAGGTCACGCGAGAAATCTGAATAGCTGCTGAAACCTGAGACTGTACATAGACAATGGTGACTTTACACAAACACTGAATCTGAAACATTAATAATGGCATCATACTGTAAATCTCAATGTTAGAACGGGGATACATTTCTAATAAAATATTTCAGTTTATGAAATAAACTTATAGTACTTTGAAGTACTTAAATGTTATGAAATGCCAAATGTCATTGAATGAACAAATTAGAAAAATAAATTAGCAAAAGGGGCTGTTTTAAATGGAAGTGTGTACTTAAATGTTGTTCAAAATGCGTTGCTATAAAAATATTTGCACAACTTTGTCACAAAATGTCCCCCTTTTGTTATATCAATATTCAATGAAATTTAAAAATATTTGTTGTCTATAATTTTAATTGTCTTTTGCAACCATATAACCCTTTTCTTCCCTTTTAGTGCCATTGCACACTAACTCTGATAAGCAATAAATAAGTTTACATTAGTAATAAACAAATGAGTTTATAACAAACTTAAAAATTCATTATTGTTCAAGTCCTTCCAGTGTTGACAAGACAAAACAAAACACAAGGTAATTTAACCACAAAGTTCTGTGGAACTTTGTCACCTCAAGGCAACACAGTAAACCAACATTTCACATGTGTACAAATGACATATTTGTTGCTACTGTATATATGCACTGTACTGCATATCTCCCTAATGACTATCATGCAACCTGCTTCATAATGCGAACTTGATGAGAGAGGCATCCTTTTTACAGAAGTCACATAAAGAGTGAGTAAATACAGGTTAGAAGTTAAATGTTGTGGATTTATAGAGGGAGCGGTTAATGAGCAAAATGGAGGAGAATACAGACAAGGCTGGTTGAACAAAGATAAAAAAAAAAAACATTTAAAAAAGGGAAACACGTTACATAACCAATCTGCCTTACAAGGTAATCTGGCTAAACTTGCAAAAACAATATACCTACAAGAGATTTTGTTGGTTTTCAATATGAAAAATGGAAAAACATAGCTTTTTCTTTTACAAATCATTTTAAAATAAGGTAAGAATAAAAGTAAAAAATTAAAGCATTAAAGTTGTCAGTCTTTACTAGAGAACTAGAAGTCCTGTCAAAGAATCTTTAAGCATGTGACTCCAAAGAATGCATCTCAAATGGTATTTGACCTTGTAATGCTTGACGAGTTGAGAAAGCAGTGCATGATGTTCTGTTTTCATATTTGCAAAAGGAATGTATGCAAAAACTGTAGCTGCTGAAAAACATACAATACGGTGCTTTAAGTCAGGCTTGAATAGTCTAGTCAGAGAGAATGGGGAAAAAAGGAAGGAAACCTGCCACAATCAAGCAAATACTTGAGCCTTATCTCTCTTCCAATCTTCTAGCACAGACATTTCCATTATATAGTCTAGCCCATATTCTGTGGAACAAAAAGAGGCCATAAAAAATACTGGCACAAGGCTGCCCAGCAACCCTCCAGGATGGAAAGATCAAGTTAATAATCTTCTAATTCATCATAACTCTTTATATACATAACTTTATATACGGGTGATTGAACAGACACAGACACAGACAGCTGGCATTTGGATTAACTATTCTCCATGTTGGCAGAAAGTCCTCTCACAGGTTATTAGTGAAACCAAATATCAAGTGACATTAAACCCGATTAAGCATCTGTTGTGAACACAGAGAAGGACAAGTGGAAGTAAAGGAGATTTGTTGCAGTTTGCCACATTACTGTTAATCAATAAAGAGTCGCACTTACTGTAGGTATTTTGGTTTAGGCTACAAACGTCATTTTGACGATAAATTAATGAATTAAGCACTAAACCATTTAAATATCAGGAAGAAAAATTCCAAACCAGGAACACATGTGGAAGAAATGCCTCACAGGGGATCAAAGTTCTCTTTTATGAGTAACGTTAGCCTGTTGAGAAAACGACTCCGAAACTTTGTCAAGATGTGTAAACATTTTCCCTTAAAACTTACTGGTAGTTTTATTTATGTTATTTTAAGCCTAAAGTTACATTTTTACCCCTGCTTATTCATACAAGAAGACTAACGTTATGTGTGGATAGCCATTCAACTTCATTCAGACCTGTGCAAATACGTTAATAAAACAAACACACAAACAATCGAACACGTTTGATGTTCTATAAATAATAAACAATATAGTAATGAATAAATTGGTAGACTACATACCATTCTGTCATCCAATTTGATTTCATCAAATGTGCACATACTCCCCATTCGATTCATTTTAGCTGAATGTTTCTACACTAGAAAGACAATAGTGCTTAAAGTAATAGTGCTAAAGTAAAATAACAGCAGAAGTTGACTCCCACTGCGCGGTTTGTCGGTGTTGTGTTCAGTTCTGAACTCGTCCGATACGCTGAATAATAAGCAGCCTCGGTGCAGTTATTAACGCGAGCTGAAAGGTTTTGACAGACTCTCCCCTCCCCTTCACAGGTTTCACGGGACGGGTCGTTAACGCGTCAGAGTGAAAACTGTCGTGTGACCTCATTCATTCGGCATGTTTGTTTCGCCTCAGCTTGCGGGAACAGTGTAGGATGTTTCACCTAAGAGACACGATCTCATCCCTCTGTCCCGAGGATACGCAAAATTAAGAAACGGGATTTGACATAAATCTTAAAGTTACTCGGTTTCTTCAGAGTGATAGCTGGAAAATGACAGGCCTTATCACAGATAAAGCCTGCTGAAAGCAAATGAAAAGTGGGAGGACTTAAGAAATGTGACTGCATAAACTAGGCTACTCAAGATCACATCAATTTCACAGTTGAATTATAAATTGTCTCTATTCTGCCAGTACTAGGTTACCTGTAAAGCTGGTCTCATTAATAATGATAAAAACAAACAAGAAGTAAAAAAATAAAATAAATATTTTTTTTCTGTCTCCATTTAGATCTATAGGGGAAATTAAATTAGCCTTAAAATAAAATAAATATAATATAAAATAAAATCAATATTTATAATAATTAAAAATGTGTAATATGGAGCTTGTAATATAGAGCGAGATGAAGAAGAAACTCAAGTGAGGTAATCAGACTCGTGAGTAATAGATAACATTCACCTCAATCCTATCTTAAAGTCCTCCTATATAATTTGAGCTGTCACTCTGTAATTATTGAATGCACAATATTTAACAAGTTTGTTTGCATCATCGTGGTCCAGACAAGACACAACTGGAATTAAAATGTAGTCTGGTAAGCAGTTTTACCTCAGAAAAGCAACATACAGTAATAGCCAAATTCACATAATAATGAACAAATAAAGAAAATCCAAATGTCTCAAATTGTATCCCTGTCTTTATTTGTCTGTGTCATTATTTAAGTCTAAACTTTATAAATTGTTTATGTTTATTGATGCAGAGAGAAAAAAAAGTCATTCTACAAAATGTGCAAATTAAAATGCATCACACCCCTGTTATCAAGGTTTAAGCGGCACTGAATTAAATCAATAAAATTTTGTCCTATATGACATTGCCATTGAAGGTTTCAAGGACTCACTTGATCATTTATATTGTTTAGAAGATCATTAAAAAAATGTCACCACTCTTACCTTGATTTTGTATAGGCTATAAAGAATTGAACTAAAGTAGATTAAATATAATTATTAAATTATAGCAAGGACCTGTAATTTCAAAACCTTCAAGCACAAGACTTGTAATAATGTCATATTGAATTTTGAAAAACTGTCAAACTTGTTACATCTCGCTGCAGAACGTAGGTTTTTCCTCTTTGTCGCCATCTCTTTTCAAAATCTGCAATTCATTCACGGAATTATAAACTTTAGGCGAGTTGTGCCTCGACGTGGCACAGCGCGGATGAACACAATGTTTGAGAAGTGTGCAGCTGTCAGCCACCACAGCCACGAGCATTAAGTCACAGATTATTCTTTTTGGAAGTATGACCAACATAATCGTTTTCACCGGAAAATTACATCTGAACTATCTATGTAACATCCACTTTTGTTCTGGTTCTGACCAACGGGTTCAAAAAGTCTATTGAACCTTTCTGGATCCGCCATCAAATTGATGAATTTAATTATATCAAGTGCTGTGAGAAAAAGCTATAAATTTCCACTTTCAACATCCTCACACGCAATAGCCGAGACTCCTTTTTTATGTGTACAGATGTGACGTACTGATGCATGGGCTCAAATTTTCCACGGAAATCCATCAGTAGCCTACCATTGTAATTAAAAAAAAAATACTACAAGCTTACCATTTTGAATCGAGCTAAGGCAAGCAATTTTGAACAGTGGCTGGTTTTGATCCAAAAATTATTTTGGATAATTTTTATCCCAAAAAAGCTAATTTA